AGCTGAAAAAAAAAAAACCGAACTGCAGTAATTGGCTTTGATGAATTCAAGTCGCTGTCCCACACTGTTAACTGTGGGTGCTGAGCGCTTAAAGGAACACATGTGCCCTGAAAACACAGGGGGATGAACCCAGGCGCTGTGGAAGGGGCGGGGGTGGGGGGGAGGCTGTGTTTGCATTTACTCTGTAACTGGGTCAGCCTGAGCTTAATTCTTTCATGGTTTCGGGAGCAGGCATCATACAGCTTTACAGATAAGATCTCGTTGGTTGGGCCAAGATACAGGAAAGCCTGTTGCTGCCTCAGTCATACAGAACCAACCCAGCAGGATGCCCAAGGAACTGACACAGCCCTTCTAGATGCCTGGGCCAGAGCTCAAGCCCAGCCTGGTTTGGGATTTCCCATAGCAAACTGAGGGGCTTCCAGTTCTGTTCCTGTGGCTTCCTGGGTAATTGACAAACTTCAAGCAGGTCCCAGGGAATAAAGGAAAGAAACTTGCATTTCCCGGCTTGGTTGAGTAAGACTGAGCCCGCCTTTGACTGGTGAAGGGAAGGTCAGAGCAAGGAAACAGTTTCTTTTTTGCTTTTCTGGTGGTGTTGAGAGTTGAATCTAGAGCCTTGTATATGGTTGGCTCACACTCTGCCACTGAGTTCCCGCCCCCGTCACCAGCCCAAACCACAGTTTGCCTAAAGTGAGTTTCACTCTCTGCCCAGTGGTTCTTAAACATGCTTTCTAAACTACAATCATCCGTGCTGAGAATAGAGAGAAAGAAAAGATAGTCTTCCCAATGAAGACAGGCTCGGAAACTGAAGATTAAATAAGCCAAACACACGGGTTTCTGGAAGCTTCCATGAGCTCACAGGTTTAATGGGAGCTAAGAGACGAATCTGCTTTAACCGGCTTGGTCATCACCACCTAAGAACAAGATGGAACACAATGTATCCTTGGGTTTGGCCTCTGCCTGCTGCGGTCACCATTCTCTGGCTTGTACTTTGCATCATTGTTTCAGATTTCAGGTCCTGACAGTGGACTTGGGAGGAGGTTTGAATAATTTGTGCTCCAATTCATGGGTTGAAAACCTGGTTCCCAAGATAATGGTATTGAGGGCTGGTGGGACCTTTAGGAGATTGCTATGTCATGGGGCTTCGCCTTCCTGAAGTTAGGATTAATGTCGTTATCTTCAGAGCAGGCTGCTATGAATGGAGTCTGGTATCTCTACCCACGCTTTCAAACGTGCCTGCTCACCAATCTCCATCAGATACACTTGTGCCGTGTAATGCCATGTGCTGCGCTGTAACAGTTTGACGACCTGGAAAGATTTGGCTACCAGGCTTGGGGCGTGGCTCAGTCAGAGAGCACTTGCCTAGAACCCATCAGGAAGGGGCTGGGGGCGTGGCTCAGTGGTAGAAGACCTGTCTAGAATCCCCCAGTGAGGGGCTGGGGTGTGGCCCAGTGGTAGAGCCCCTGCCTAGAATCCCCCAGTGAGGGGCTGGAGGCATGATTCTGTGGCAGAACTCTTGTTTAGCATGTGCAAGGCCTGTTATTTTTGTAGCCATCAGCACCGCAAAATAACAATGATAACATTAACTATTTGGGGCTGGGTGTGGTAGCACATGCTTGTAACCCCAGAACTCAGAAGGCTAAAGAAGGGCTTTATAGGCTTCATTCACGGACCCAGCCTTGTCACAAAACAAAATGAAAGATACAGTTGCCCAGTTTCAAACATCTCAGCCTCTAGAACCACAAGCTAAAATAAACCTCTTGCTTTTATAAACAACCCAGCCTTGGGTGTTTTGCTTTAGAAACAGAAAATGAACTAAGCGTGCAATTGACAGAATTTGGATCTCATGTTTCCTTCTACCCCCAGCATCCAAGAAAAGAAGGGCTTCCCTCTGTACTTAGAGCAGCTACGGGACAGTGGAGATAAAAGACAGTGACCTGGAGGTACCCCTATGCAGAGATAGGGATGAGGCAGTGCTAGTGAGGATAGAGGTGTCACGAGGAAAGACAGGAAGTAGACAGCTAGACTCAGCCAGTGGCCCCTGACTGGCTGAGAATGTCAAGGGTACTCCACGGTTAGGCTCCAGGATCATCGTAGCTCTGACGACAGCTTCCTCTCCTTCTTCTTCTCCCCCTCCTCCTTCTCCTCCCCTTCCTCCTCCTCTTCTCTCCCTAGATATCTATGATGGACTGCAGTCAGTTGTCACAGCCTACCACGAAACCAGGGTTAACAGGCACCTCCCGGCTAAGTGTAGGGCTTCCTACAGAGATCTCCAAGGAAGCCTGCACCATGCTAGGAACACAACAATTACTCAAAACATATGCGCTGACCGGGAATATGAAACCAAGGACATATGCACAGAATCCTGTGTTCTGGAAGCTGAGGAGACCATCTGGGGAGAATCTCTAGAGAGGAGCAGCCCGAGGCTCCCCCTCAGCTGGGATCTGTGTGACCCTGGGCTGGCTGTCTCTCCTCTAGGTCTTTGTTCCTCTGTAGACCCGCACGCTGATATGTGCTCCTCTTAGGGAAATTGAGTGACGGTTGACAGAGTGCCTGGCAGGAGTCTGGCATCCAGTTCACCGCTTGGTCCCTCTAATGGCCTGTCAGCCTTTTCCACATGACGTCTCAAACCCTTCACGCCGTGATTAAAGACAAATGTGTCTTTAAGTTATTCTTCAGAGAATCTTAATTTAACCCCAAATTCACTTTACATCCTAGAATATAATTCTTCTGGCATTTTACACCTTGATATTAGTGGATTAATTTATTTACAGATAATTTTTTTAAGATTTGTTTTTAGTGTTTTAAAGTGTGCGTGTGTGTGTGTGTGTGTGTGTGTGTACATGTGAGTGCAGGTGCTCACAAAGGCCAGAGGCGTCCAGTCCCCTGGAGCTGGAGTTGCAGGTGGTTGTGAGTCACCTGACATGGGTGCTGGGAATGAGAGTCAGGCCCTCTGGGTGAGCACACAGTGCAAGCTTCTGACCTCTGAGCCATTACCCCAGCCCTAATAATTCATTTCTAAGCGGAACTGCAGACAGAAACAGCACAACCTGACGCAACAGCTTTAAATCTATTATAATATACTTTGGGGTGACACCAAAGAGTTTTTGTCATTATTTTGCAGTGCTAGGGTGGGAACCCGAAGCCTTATGCATATTAGGCAGATGCTCTACTGTTGAGTTAAGGCCCAAGTCCCTTACAAAGACCTTTTAAAAGTTTTTAATTAATTAATATGGAGATGAACATGCCAACCCTTTGTGTGTGAGGCAGGGGGGTCAAAGGACAACATGTCTGAATGCGTTCTCTCCTTCTGTCATGTGACTTCCTGGGATCAAACTTGGGTCGTCGGGCCTGGCAGCAAGTACCTCTGCCCACTGAGCCATCTCCCCTGCCACTGCAAAGACATCTGAATAAAATATTTCAGTTTGATTGCAGGAAAAAAATAACTTTAAAGGCTTAGAATTTCATTAGTTAAAACACTGGATAGGAAAAAAAAGAGGTGACATGAACATTGTATTGAAAGCCACAGGCAGGGAGATGGGAGGAGGCTGAGGAGGAGGGCATGGGAACAGTCTTTGCAGTAGTAAGTCAGATTGGGGCTATAGCTCAGGCCCAGCAAGCTCACCCAGTGTCTCAGGTGGTGGGGTCCATCCCCAGCAGTATAATACAAACAAAGGAAATACCACAGTCGGGGTAGGCCTCTGTGGGATGAGATGGGAGCAAATATATAAAAGGCAATTATAATGAAGTCACCAATCCCCGCCCCCTGTTAAAACAGACCAAGTGGTTTTCCACAGGAGACATGCTACCTAAAAACCGCATGCTTTTTCTTCAAGGTACCTGCCATTATGGACTTAATCCCAGGTGCTTGTGGGAGCAATCCCCTTCCTGCTTTCTTAGGACTGCATAGAGGACACCGTGTTCAGAGAGGCAGGGAGCTCCTTAGAAAAAATCAAGGTCTTCTGTCTACAGACATTTGTTCCTGAGCTGGGGTATGACTCAGTGGGTGATCTAGCACCCCCATGGAGAGCCAGGCACTGTAGAACTTGTGTGAAATCCAGTCCTGGGGAAGAGGTGGGAGCAGGAGGATCCCTGAAACTTACTGCTCAGCCTAGTAACTTACTTACTGGTCTAGCCAATCGGTGAGGTCCAGAACCGAAGAAAGACCCTGCCTAAAAAACCAGGTAGCCAGGTGATGTAGCACACCTTTAATCTCAGCTCTCAGGAGGCAGAGGCAGGCGGATCTCAGTGAGTTCGAGGCTAGCTTGGTCAACCAAGCAAGTTCCAAGACAGTCAGGACACAGAGAAACCCTGTCTCGAAAAACAAATAAATAAATAAATAAATAAATTTTTCATTGCATGTATTTACTTATTTAGTGTGGGGGTGTTCGTGTGCCTCAGCATGAGAGTGGAGGGCAGAGTTAACTTTCAAGAGTTAATTCTCTCCTGCCAACTGTGTGTGTTCCCTGGGTTCGAATTCTAGCACCTTTATCCCTATGCCATCTCATCAGCCCTTATGTTTTTTGAGACAGGGTCTCATGTAGCTAAGGATCGCCTTGAACTTCTGATCCTCCAGCCTCCACCTCCCAGATGAGTCTCTCTGTATACCAATACACACACACACACACACACACACACACACACACACACACACGAGAGGGGGGGTCACCGCGGTGGATTTTACATAAGATCTGAAATTTAAATAATATTCACCGAAGCTGCTACCTTCTTAGCAAATTATTACTATTATTTTAACCGCCTCACGTTGGTACTGCGATCCGACCGAGTTCACATCCGCTGCCAAAGTGCCTTGACCATCACTCCAGCCCGAACTATTATTATTATTTTACAGGGCTCATCGGTCTAAAACTTGTCCAAACAAGAGCTCTCAGGAAGCACCCGGGAATAGAGCGTGCTCTCTTGCTCGCGGACGGACGGGTTTTAGTAGCTGCTACGCCTTCTTCCAAAAACTCCCGTGAGACCTGCCAGGATGCCGTTCTCCTTAGGTGGAGGGCGGAAGGGCCGGGCCTCGAGCCAAGAAGCACCAGCTGGGTAGGAAATCCCCACCTGTGATTACTCGGGTATTCATTAATCCAGGATTGTGGTGAGAAAAAGAAGAAAACGAAGCTGGTTTTGATACAGAATTCGGCTGGAATCACATGAGGTCCGCAGATGCCAAATCCGGTTAAGAGTCCAGGGTAAATCAGCAATTCGCTCAGTTTCACTCACCCCTACGCCCACTCCCACCCACCCCCGCGACGGTGCTATCCAAAGCTGCAGCTTGGAGCGCTCAGCTCTGCCCCCTGGGATAAGGAAGAAGAGGGTAAGGGTTGTTTTTGATTACAGGTTTCTATGGTAACCGGGACTAGCAACAGAGGGGTTTGGGCATAGCAACTGCAGACTCAGCTAGCTCTGGGACACCCAAAGCCCGAATCCGCCTAACTAATCCATGGGGGGATAAAGGAAACGGCGTCTTTTAAGGGAGACCCATGGTGAAAATTAGTTTTGGATTCCTCGGGGATCGGAATCACATCTGGGTAGTTGTCGGGTCTATTCTTGTCTTGTTTTCCCCCAGGTTGCTCCCCCCCCCTTCTTCTTCTGAAATCTCTCTCCTCAATTCCATAATAAAGAATACAGTTGACACTTGAGAAGCCCAGGTTTGATTGGTGTGGGCCTACTAAGAGTGGATTTGGGTAGTGGTGATCAGAGATTTTTCAGTAACGTGAAAACATTAAGAAAAAGATTTAAAAAAAAAATATTTGTAGGGGAAGTGATGCTTATCAGCTACTGCAAAAAATACATTCAGAGGCTGTAAAAGGCTACAGTTGATCAAAATGGAAACGTGCAGATGCTGTACATGACCACATGATGCCATTTGCAGCCCAGGGAGATGTAAACAAGCGGACAGATGCGGCATTAAATCATAATTGCATAAATTAACTGCAGGACATACCGTCCTGCGTTCACAATGCCCGAGTCTGTTGCTGTGGGGAAATTACAAGCAGATTGTTTTAATGCACGGACGGTTGGCACCTGTAACTCTCAGGTAATCTCTTAGCTATGCTTTCTGAGAACAGAACAGTTGATGTTTCTTTAACCACGAAAGTTAGCTTTGTGGCTGTTGTTGAAGCAGAATCGCAGGTACCCAAGCTGGCTTTGAACACTACATAGCTGGGGATGACCTTGAACTTCAGCCCTCCTGCCTCTACCTCCCCAGCATTTTGACCCTTCCAGGTGCTGCCACACCTGGCTTCATGCTGTGCTGGGCCTTGAACCTAGGGTTTCGTGGGTACTGGGTAAGCACTCTGCCAATTAAGCTGCATCTCCAGCCCCCAAAGTGTGGTCTCTGAAGGGGGAATTTTGCAAACTGTTCATGGTAGTGTTAGCTAGAAATGCTGTTGGGAGCTTGGGTCTAATACACTCGATTCGAATTCCTGACAATGGGGACATTAGGATTGTCCTGACAAGGGTGTTTGCTTGCTTTTAATTTTGTGTAGACCAGAATCAGGCTAGTTTGATGCCATCTATCTGTCTGTCTGTCTATCTATCATCTATCTATCTATCTATCTATCTATCTATCTATCTATCTATCATCTATCTATCATCTATCTATCTATTTATCTATCTATCTATCTACCTGTCTATCTATCTATCTATCTATCTACCTATCTATCTATCATCTATCTATCTATCTATCATCTATATATCTATCTATCATCTATCTATCTATCTATCATCTATCTATCTATCTATCTATCTATCTATCTATCTATCTACTATCTATCTATCTTGGTTTTTCAAGAGAGGGTTTCTCTGTATAGCCCTGACTGTCCCGGAACTAGCTCTGTAAAAACCAGGCTGGCCTCGAACTCACAGAGATCCACCTGCATCTGCCTCGTAAGTGCTGGGATTAAAGGTGTGGACCACCATCACCACCACCCGGCATTTATTATTTATTTTAATGAGCTCATATGAAAAGGAAAATTGCACCTCTCTCCAATATCACAGGCTAAGTACTGGATCAAGGAACTGCTTTTTCTCCTTTCGAGACGGTCTTTCTGTACAGCCCTGACTGGCCTGGAGCCCACTATGTAGACCAAGCTGGTCTCAAACTCACAGAGATCCGCCTGCCTCTGCTTCCTGAGTGCTGGGATTAAAAGCGTGCACGCCCTGCTCTTCTGTTTTTTTTTTAACTTAATTTATTATCATGCGTGGGGATGTGTGTGGCCATGCCACCGCTCATGTGTGAATGTGGAGGTCTCAAAATCAAAAGTTAGACAAGAACTGGAGTTATACCTAAGAGGTGCATAGCATTTGTAACACCCCGGGTCCAATCCCTAAAACAAAGCAGAGCAGAGCAAAGAACAAAACTCAAATGTGACCATATGAAGATAGGGTTTTAAATGTTTTGCATTTATTTATTTTTCAGAGGGGGCACCTATGTCATAGCGTGCAGGTGGAGGTCAGAGGACAACTTGTAGGAGTCCGTTCTCTCCTTCTGCCATGTGAGTCCTAGAGATGAAACACAGGTTATCAGACCTGGTTGCAACGACCTTTGCCACATCACTGTAAACAATAGCAGTTTCATTTCTTTTTCCATCCTTATACCTTGTATGCATGTGTATACATGTATGTTGATGGGCATGCAGGTGCCTGTGTGTGTGCATGTATGTTGATGGGTATGCAGGTGCCTGTGTGTGTGCATGTATGTTGATGGGTATGCAGGTGCCTGTGTGTGTGCATGCATGTGGAGGGCAAAGGTTGATTCTCAGGTGTCATCCACCTTAATTTTTTGTTTGTTTGTTTCTGAGACAGTCTTTCATCAGCCTGAAACTTACTAAGTATGCTAAGCTGGCCAGAGAGCCCCAGAAGCCCCCACCCCTAACCCCCACCCTGCCTCCTCATCCCTGTGATTACAAACCCGAGGGACCACATGCTTGTTTGTTTCTTCGATCCTGAAGATTGTACTTAACGCTTATATGGCAAGCATTTTACTAACTGAGCTATCTCCAACAGCCCCTGCCTTTATAGAGGCAAAGTAGCTCAGGCTGGCCTCTAATTAGCAGTAATCTCCCTGCCTTGGCTTCCGCAGAGCCAGACTCACAGGCATGTGCTGCCACACGTTTTCTGCCTCTTTGCTTTCTTTCCTTTCCTTTTGCATTGCCTGGATGCACCAGTGCAGTGCGATCAAATGGACACATAACAGACAATACACTTCCCTTCCACATCTTCCTGGCTGCTGAGGGAAGTTTCCTTGTTTTGTTGGTTCCTATTTTATAGGTAGTTTTAGGCATCCTACAACCTTGCATTTATGTTTACGCTAGGAGGAAAATTTCCCAGTTGGTTTTCTCTTGCAATAATCAAACACTGACCCAAAGCAACTTGGGATTTATTTGGCTTCTGTAGCTTCCTTCATTAAGGGACACCGAGGCAGGAACCTGGAACCGGGAACTGAAGCCATGGAGGAACACTGCTTACAGGCTTGCTTTCCGTGGCTCACATTCAGGTGTCTTTGTTGCACAGAGCAGACTCACCTACCTAGGGATGGTACCACCCACAGTGGGCTGGGCCCTCCTTTATTAGCGAACTAGAAAAGCCCCTCCAGACCTGCCTACCATCTATTCTGATGGAGTTATTTCCTCAGCTGACGTTTCCTCTTCCCAGGTCTGTCAAGTTGGTGACTGAAGCTAACTATGACAGAAAGTTTACCATGAATGAGTACTGGGATTTTTGTTTGTTTTACATACCTGTGCAGTGTCTATTGAGGTAATCACATGATTTTCCACTTTGTTAGATTGTCCTGGGAAATGACCATTTGTTTAAAATACCAAGGATGGTACGTGCCTTGAATCTCAACACTGGGGGTGGGGGGAGCTGGGGCAGGAGGATTGCTGAAAGTTCAAGGCCAGCCTGGGATAGATCTTGTGACCCTGCCTCAAAAGAAAGCAAACAGCAACTACCAAGCCGAGGTGAGCCTGTAGGGTTAAAGGCTACCCTGTCCTCTAGCTGTTGGCCGGTGTCCCCTATTAGCAGTTCCTGGAAAAACAAATATTTACTGTCCTTGACTGCTTAGTGGGGCCACCGCCTGGACGTGGTGTATCAGTTCTAGGAAGGGATGAAATCACTCACTCGACTCATTCAGTAGATGTGACGTCACTCGGGGTTTGCTCACTTTTAATGGATTATGGTTTTTTTCTGGATTGTATTTGAATTCCCGTATTTATATGCATAAAAATATTCTCAGATTCCTTATCGTATCCTTCCCTACCCATGTCTCTCTCTCCTTCTGTCTGTGTGTGTGTGTGCGCGCGCGCACGTGCACGTGGGTGTATATAGTTTCATATTTTTGAGACAGTGTCTTACTTTGTAGACCAGGCTGATCTTGAATTCACTGAGATTCATGTGCCTCTGCCTCTCAAGTCCTGGGATTAAATCCCTGAGCCTCCATGTCTGGCTTGAACATTTTCATCCACTAATTAAATTGCTCATCATTTAAGATCGCTTACGACTCTTGCAGAATGCCCAGGATCAGTTTCCAGCACCCACGTGGCAGATCACGATTGCCCGTAGTTCCAGGGGGAACTCAACACCCTCTTCTGGCTTCGACGAGCTTCTGCGTGCACGAATGCTGGGGCACGCACACGCACACGCACACGCACACACACACAAATAAATAAATAAATAATCAATCCTAAAAATACATCTTAGAACTTTAAGATCATAATATGAACAGTTTCTAATTAATTCAGGGAGCTCTTCCAAGATAATTAAAAATAGATTGGACTACTTTGTTGCGCTCTTCCCCTGTGGTGGATGCGTTCCACACCCCACTGAGATCCCTTGGCACTGACCACTCCCTTACATGTTGGCTTAATTTACAGCTCCCTCCATCTGTGACTCAACTACTCCTGAGGGCTTCTCTGGATGCTGCGCGAGGAGCACGGAGCAGATTGGAAGAGCCGAGAAATGAAAAACTTCCTGGAGTTGCGCCCCATCAATTAGTGACCGCAGTTGCCGGGTAAATACCCCGGTTTCTGTTCTCTTCATGTGGGATGAACTCAGAGCAGCGTGCTCCGCGCTGGCTCCCCACGTTCCTGATCCAGTGACTCAGTGATAATTTGTTGGCGCGTGCGCTTTTCGTTTGTTTTTGCACTGCTGGGATTCTGCACTGCTTCGGCCAGGCGGGCGCTCTGCCCCTGAGCTATGCCCCAGACCCAACATGTGTTCTGTTGATTTCCTTCCCTTCCTCGCTCCCTCGGTCCCAGAATGAACCGTCAGGCTTAGCTTCGAGAGTAGATTGCTCCAACTGCGGTCTGGTTTTGCTTCTTGTAAAATTCCCTAGACCATTTTGTGACATTGGTATACTCGTGTGTGCGCGCGTGCGCTTGGCTACGTTTTTTCGGGGTTTGTTTGTTTTTGTTTTTCTTTTAAGACAGTTTCTCTATATAGCCCCGACTATCCTAGAACTCTGCCTCCCGAGTGTTGGAATTAAAGGTGTTCACTACTACACCTGGCTTCAGAGCAAATATTTTGGTATTATGTGTTTATAAATACCGATGTCATCATCTTTGTTTTATACAGCCAGTATTTGCTTAGAGACTAGGTCTCACTTTGTAGACCAGGCTGGCCTCAAACTCAAAGAGCCATTCGCCTCAGCCTCCTAAATGCTGGGGTTAAAGATACGTGCCACTAAATAAGCCAGTGGTTTTATTCCTTAATCAGTTTTCCCTGGCTCGGATAACTGCTTTTAGCATGTTTTGTGCCTTCTGTGGCCACTTGCACAAGTAGCTAACTCCCCCAGTTACTGACTCTCTAAGCATTATCTAAACACTCCACTCAGTGCCCCCCCCCCCTTTCTGGAGACTGAGCTGTCTGTGATCCAAGCAGGCCTCAAACTCTCCATTCTCCTGCCCCTGCCGCCTGGGTGCTGGGATTCCAGGTGTGAGTCACCACATCCACCGTTTCTCAGCTTTCTCTCTGAAGCTTACCGTCACTGGATATAGGTTGGCGATGATCTGCTTTTAGCTTATTGAGGACATTATCCTCCAGATGTGGTGACACACCTCTAATCCTAGTCCTTACGAGACAGGGGTAGAGAGGGTCTCAGGTTCGAGGCTCACTTGGTTTATGTAGTGAAACCCTGTCCCCACTTCAGGAGCGCAGCCTTGGATATGAGGTGCAAGGGGACACTGACCTAGATTACTGGGGGGGTTGAGAAGTTTATTAGAGGAGCTATTAGTGTCACAGACAGACCGACAGATAGGCAAGAATCTCAACAGAGTTCAGGCCCCAGCATCAGATATAGATAGCATGGTGGGGCCTCAGAGGAGAGAATTCAGGCCCCAACGCTAGTCCTCAGAACAAGGGGGTTTCAAAGCACAAGTCCACAGCTGGGCTCTCTGATTCCCAGGCCATGGCAGGGAAGGGGTGGGGCCAGCCACACTCAGTTTGATGTGAACTCACTTCCCAGGTGAGAAATCCTAATCTCCTGAAGTCTGTAAACTATGGGTTCACAGTGTCTCAGCAGGGAGCCTGTCGGTGTGGGAGTGGGAGGGGCTGCCGCAGGTATGCCTAACCTTCCTTCTGTATTATCTTCCTTCTTAGCTAATGGACCAAATTTATGATTCCTTTTAAAGACAGTGTGCTTTCTCCTCAAGCTTTTTTGAGATTCTGTCCTGTTTATTGGTGAGATTTTCCTTGAGGCTATTTTCTTGAGCAATTAATCCAACAACTATTAACTGTTAACAATTATTATTAAATAATTAACAAATATTATTAAATAATTAATAATTATTAAACCAGGCTGGTGGCACAAGCATCCTGGCACTCAGAGGCAGAGGCAGGTGGATCTCTGTGAGTTCAAGGCCAGTCTGGTTTACAGAATAAGTTCCAGGCCAGCCAGGGCTACACAAAGAGACCCCCTGACCAAGCAATTTTTTAAATGTTTATTAAAATATATCATACTTCACTAGAGTTCTAAAAATAGGACCTAGCCTAAGGTGCGTGCACACGTGTGTATAAATAGGTAAATTATAAGGAAGCAACTCACATGAGTATGGTGGCTGAGAAGCCCAGATTCAGAAGGATTCAGTTTAGGTTCCTGCCCAAAGGCAGGATGCCGATATCTACCTTAGAGATAACCGCTTCCCCCACAATTTACATAATTTCATTATTTAAAACATTTTAAAACTTATCTTTATGTTCAAATGATGTATGTAAGAGTGTGCTGTGTGTCTGTAGGTGCGCACAGGCGCAGTGCTGGAGTCCGGAAGAGGACGCCCTTCCTCTGCAGCTGCAGTTACAGAAGGTTGTGAGCCACCCCACGTGGGTGCTGGGAACTGAACTTGGGTCCTCTGGAGGAGCAAAAAGCACTCATAACCGCTGAGCAATCTCTCCATCCCCAACAGTTTCATCCTTTACAGCTGAGTCAGACTATCTTCTATGTGTGTTCCGCTTTGTCTCTCTGTCCATGTCTCCATGGAGCTCAGTGGCCTCCACATGGTTGAGTGTTGCAGACTGCACCGCCGTAAGCACGCTGTGTCCTGACCTCCAGGCTGCAGAGAGCTTTGCTTCTGTTTGTATTTGTTGGTCAAACAGAATCATATGCGACATGTTTATTTTCTATTTCTACAGAATAAATTCACTCACATTTCACCGCTTACACGAAAACATTTATTATGTCACGCTTCTCCTATGGGTCAGGAATCCACATGTGGTTGGAGATGTTCTTACGACTTCAGGCATGACACCTGAAAGTCATCCTGAGTTTGTTAAGCTCACCATTAGGAGGATGGTCAAGAGTTTACCTCACTTTGGAAGTTATCAAAGTTATCTATGAGTATAGGATAAAAAGTGACAAAGAGCAAGAAGGGGGGGCAGAAGGGGAGGGGAGAGGAAAGAGGGTACGGGGGGAGGGGACGGGGTGTAGGGAAGGGAAAGAAGAGGGGATACAGAGAAGGGGAGGGGAGAGGAGAGGGGTGCAGAGATGGAGGGGAGAAAAAGGGGGATGCAGGGAGGGGGAGGGGAGAGGAGGAGGGAGAAGAAAACAGGTAGAGATTCCAAAGAACAGATTCCCCAGCAGCCTAGAGTTGTTAGGACAATCCTACTTTTAATTGACTGGGGAAATGAATATTTATCCTAACTGGTGGTGTATACTTAATCCAATCTGTAAATCATTGACTTAAAAGACTGTCTGCGTTGTAAAACCCGAAGAACTAAGATCACGTACAGTAATGACACCAGAAAGGGAGATGTTTCAAAGTTATTCTATAATTCAGCTTCTTCTGTCTTCTTTCCCTAAAAACGTGTGAAGTCAGACAATCCAGGAATTAGCTTGGTAATACAAAAGACCCCAAGCAGCCAAAAGCCAAAAGCAATACTGGACAGATCCCAGAATCTGATTTCACACTGCACTGTTGAACCGCCTGATGCTGATGCGTATAAACCAGCCTGATGCTGGCACAGATGCAGATATGGGGACCAGCGGAGTAGACAGCCGGGCAGAAATAAAGCCGCATGGCTTGTGCGTCTGAATCTCATGCACTGGAGAAAGGACAGCTTCCTGACAAATGATGCTGGAAACTTTGGATGTCCATGTGTGGAAGATTGAATCTCATCTCTTACTCCGAACAAAACTCAACTCAGGACGAATTCTAGTGTAAAACTCAATTTCTGAGAGCTAATGGGGAAAACTTCAACACAGACATAGGCGGGGACTTTCTGAATGGGGACTTCAGTGGCCCCCGAATAACAGCCAGGAGTGACGGGTAGTTACATGAAATGAAAAACCTGCACAGCTGCCGGGAGGTGGTGGTGTATGCCTTTAATCCCAGTATTTGGGAGACAGAGGCAGGTGGATCTCTGTGAGTTCAAAGTCAGCCTGGTCTACAAGAGATAGTTCCAGGATAGACGCCAAAGCTACAGAGAAACCCTGTCTCGGAAAAATCAAACCAAACCAAAACAAACAAAACAAAACAAAAAAAAAGCCCGCACAGTAGGAAGCTGTTTCTCTGGTTACTGCACTCTTCAGGGCTACAAGTATTTCCTTGGAGTCCATGAGTTTCTTCAAATTCATTTAAATTAACCACACACCACTTCTGTTGCTTGTAAATTGGTAAGGCCAGCAAGATCCCAATATGTACTATAAGGCAATTAGCTAAGTTGTCCCTTGGCAGGATAAGATGAAACAGACCACAGAAAGGCAAGGCCTGGACCGGCCTTGTACAAATAATATATGCCGTGATGTCACCTTAAGCACCAGGCACACGTGAAGAATAGACATTGTCTTAGTTAGGGTTACTATTGCTGTGATGAAACCTCTCCATGACCAAAGCAACTTGGGGGAGGAAAGGGTTTATTTAGCTTATACTCCCCTGTCCCTGTTCATCCCTGAAGGAACTCAGGACAGGAACTCAAGCAAGGCAGGAACCTGGAGGCAGGAGCTGATGCAGAGGCCATGGAGGGGAGTTGCTTACTGGCTTGCTCAGCCTGCTTTTTTCCTTTCTTTTTTCTTTCTTTCTTTCTTTCTTTCTTTCTTTCTTTCTTTCTTTCTTT